ACATGTGGAGAATAGAGTGAATAAAGTACAGCGGATTAAGGGAATGTGGTCAGTTTGTCCTCCAGATAATGAGAAAACATGAAAAAGCACATTGTGAAATATGCTAAAACAAGTAATGTTTTATGTGTTTTTATCTTCCAGAAAAGCAAGAAGCAGATTGAGAACTCCACCTATGTCATAATGAAGAAAAATCCCTGTTATGAGAGTCAGAATTGCTAAGTTCATCTGTTTATGATCTGGATCTGTCAAATGACTTCGGTTTCACAAACCAGTGTCCTCCACAGGTCGAACAGGAGGGGGAGACAAAGACTAACTGAAACACCATGACGTCATTCAGGACATCTTTTAAAACTTTTACCTCCAAAACTCACAACTTCAAACTTAGTTACAAATTTGACTAAATGAAAGTTTATCAGCCTCCAGTAGGTTTTGTGTTCTGCAGACTTCATGCATCAAGTCATTCAGCTCATTCAGGAGATGCGTGCTGTGACAGTGTGGAGTATATTATTGAAGTTAAAAATGTAATTTCGAGGCAGTTAATCATAAAAACCTTTCACCTCCCAAATCAATTTGAATTAATAATAATAATAATAATAATAATAATAATAATAATAATAATAATAATAATAATAATAACAACAACAACAACAACAACAATAATAATAATAATAATGGAGCACTTTGTCATTCTTTCTAGACAGCTCCAAGGATGATAATCCTGGTAATGATCTTCCTGTCATTTGTCTAGAGATTAATAATCAAAAGTATGCAGACAATACCATCATATACCGGTACGGTATGTCAAAACAGAATGCTGTGTCTGTACTTAATTAGTACAATTGAAATTTTTTTTGCACAACAGGATGACACATTCATGTTTAACACTGAATAAAACTGTTGGTGTATATTTTTCCCAAAAGAAAATACTCATTTAGTCTGTCTGATGTAAGTGATAAAAAACACAAGAGGTTGAATCTGCCAAATACTTGGTGGTGGTGATGGCTGGTATTCTGTCTTTTAAGAAGCACACTTTTAAAGTTTGTAAACTTGTAAAATTGGCTCAGTTTAGGTTTATTCATCATCAGATGAGTACAGCTTTTATATGTGTTCCATATTTTCTCATTTTACATATTGCATAACAACTTCTAATACAGTAACACAGCTTTACAACCACTTTGTATAAACAGGCACTTGAAATATTTGATTAAAACATCTGTCCTGATGCATCTCAGTAATCCAGGTAAAAAATCAAAAGGAAAAAAATTGTATAGGTCTTCTGGACGGGTTCTTCTTTAATGAAACGTTTCGTCTCTCTTCCAAGAGACTTCTTCAGTCTGAGAGTTTCAGGCAAAATTCAGGCTTTTGAGTCCTGCCTCCAGGTGACTGATACTCACATCACATGGCTATCGTTGACACCTAATTAACACCTATTGTTAACAGGGGGTGGAGTGATACTGCCAATGGCAGCGCTGTAGGAGGGGGACAGCTGAAAACGGAGGCCTCCACCTCTGTTTAATGATGGACGGTCTTTCTTCACAAAAATGGCTTCTTTTACTCCTCTCTCAATCCAACGTTCCTCTCTATCAAGAATGAGAACATCCTCATCTCTGAAAGAGTGACCGCTGGCCTGTAAATGAGTGAAAACTGCAGAGTTCTGGCCATTAGATGTAGCTCGTCTGTGTTGGGACATTCTTTTGAACAGTGGTTGCTTTGTTTCCCCGATGTATAACTGGTCGCAGTCCTCCTGGCACTTAACAGCATATACAACATTGCTCTGTTTGTGCCGGGGCACCGGATCTGTCTCTTGGAAGAGAGACGAAACGTTTCATTAAAGAAGAACCCGTCCAGAGGACCTATACAATTTGTTTCCTTTTGATTAAAACATATTTTATCATTAATGTAATATTGTCAAGAAATACAGTATTTTGAATTTTGAGGATTTTGTTTTAATGGCTAATCTAAGTTTGGTGTATAAAATGTTTAATACCCTTGAACCACCACCTTTTAGAGTTTTTATAAAGAAGACTGTTAGCTATAACTTGGTCAATTTTAGACACGTTAGATCTTGTTTGTCATTGGAAGCGGCCAAGATATTCATGCACGCACTTATTTTTTCACACATCTCATATTGTGTTTCATCTTGGGGACAAGCCAATGTGTCATTAATAAAACCTGTAGAGTTTTGTTACAAACAGGCCCTCAAAATATTTGACAACAAGCCCTAAAGACACCATCATTGTCAGATTATGCAGAAATATAACTTGCTTTCCTTTGAGAATTTCAGCGTTTTTTCAAATATGGAAACAGTATAAAAATTTTAAACGGTTTAGCACCAATCTGTTTGCAAAAATTTGTTTATTATCGTTCAGCCGTTTCTTTGCACTTAACCAGGACCTCCAGGAAGAACTGTGAAGCTCCTGCTCGGCGCTCAGACTTTGTTCAAGCAGCTTCTTTGGTTAAAGCCATCGCTCAGTTGAATCCTTCCTGATCATGTAAAAAACTGTAGTTCTTTTATTAGTTTAAAAAATAATCTTAAAAAGTGTCTTAAATCTACTCAGTGTTGCAATCACTGAATTGCACTTGGTAATCGATTTTAGAGTTTGCTTTTGGTTTGAGGGAGTTGTGGGTTTTTTGTTGAATGTTTAATGATATAACTTTTTAATTGTGTTTGGAGGGTGGGTTGGGTGTTTATGTATTGTTATTGTTGATTGTAAAATGTTTTATTTTGTATTTTTTTTCATTTTTCTGTTATTTTCTTGTTTTTTTGTTTTTATTCTGCTTCTGGTTGTGTGGGTTGGAGGGTGGGGTGAAGGTGGGCATGATTTTATTTTTGGAGAGTGGGGTGGGGTGTTTTATGTATTTTTTAATTGTAAAATGTTTTATTTTATATTATTTTTATTCTTCTGTTTTTTTTCCTCTCCTATTTTCATTTTACTGTTGGATGTTGTTTTGTTTTTATTGTTTGATGGGACTACAGATGAAAATTAGCCTTGGGCTAAATCTGGTGCAAAGCATCAAATTATGTTTTAATTGCACACAGTCCCAATTTAAAAAAAATGTGTCTGGTCCACCAGAGCCTCTTCTAGAGGAGATCGTTACATCAACTTCAGATCAACATCATTTGGACAAAACTGTTTTTCAGTTGGAGCAGCAAGAATAAAGATATTTTTACCTGTTACTGTTTGAGATGGTAGTGCTTCGCATGTAAAGAAATGGTTGCAGGACTATCAGGTGTGTAGTCATTGTGCTGAATAACCTGTAAAAGCATTTTTTTTATCTGATCTTTAGGCTGGTTCACTGTTACTGTTGGGCATTTTTATTCAATTGTATTATAAAGAGTGTGTCTGGCCTACTAATATGTTTTTAACTTACTTAGCTATTTCTGGTTTGTGTAATAAATGTATTGAGCAATGTCCCTGATAAATAAATAAATAAATGAATGAAAATGCTAACTGTAACTTTTAAACTTTTCAAACCAGTTAACTTGTGAATATTTACCTCAATGGGTCCGATGCCATCATTATGCTTTGCAACAATAAGGTTGTGAAGGTCTTGAGAGAGCTCTTTACTTTTACCCATCATCAGATGGTTCTTGTGTGATACCTGGCCATCATTTGGGACTGAACCAGCTGATATTAACTTGCTTTGACAAGGGGCAGGCTTGTTTTCTAATTACTGAGAGAGTTCAGCTGGTGTCTTGGCTTTCCATGCCTTTTTACACCTCCCTTTCTTCATGTGTTCAATACTTTTTCCCTGTGCCATTCCACATTATTACAAATAACTTCATTTCTGGACATTTATGGTTTGATTTCTTTGTATGTATGGATCACTTGGGTTGTTACCGACATCTGGTGAAAAATTCATGTCATTAGCACCTCTAATAATATATTTACTGAGAAAAATGGTGACATGTTCAATACTTGTTTTACCCGCTGTAACAAATGCAAACAAGAACTGTCAGTGCAACCTATATTAGTATCATTTAGATAATATTAATTTATTTACATGAAGACTGATAACATTCATAATATGAATGTTGATCAGTGTTCACATTTTTTTCTGGATTTTTATTTTTCTCTACTTATGTTTTTCAGTCTAACTAGCCGTTAGCGTGGGGTGTCTGTACCAAGACACGGTGGACTTTCTTCCACACGTCACTGCGGATGCAGGCAGCAATCTGAGTGGCGTCTCCTTGATGTTTGAAACAGGATGAATCTCAATCCTGGGACAGACCCAGAAAACTTTAGCCATGTGTTCCATTTTCCTTTTCCTGTATATCAATAATAAAATGGTTCATGGATTCATAATTATTGCCTGACATCAAAAGGTAAATGTGGGCAGTAATGTTTCTCCAGTGTCTGTATGTGTGTTTGTGCACCTGCATGTTGCCAAAACAATTTCATGAACAGCAAGATAATTTTTAATCAAACTTAACCAAAGTAACCATTGGATTTATAACTAATGAATTTTTAAAGTCACCCTGATTCAAGATGATCCTGGGGACCGAATCAACCCTGCAGATGCTCTGAAACACAACTTCATTACAGTGATGCATCTTCCTATCTTCAACAAAGACTTGTATGTAAACGAAGCCTTCAAAAATAATGACACAGCACCAACCCATCACAGAAAACATGGAGTGTGAAAACACAATCACCTCACATCCTGGTCCCACTATGATGCCACCTGTTGTTGACAACCCTGAAACAGGTGACAGTCATGCTATTGAATCTATTCTATAACACGACTGTCCAAACAAATTCATTAGTGCCTAATGAATTTGAGAGAAAGATCATACTTTAGTGCTGGAAATTGGATTATTGAAGTGGCTAATTGGCTACTTCCAATTAACATGTTTCAGTCTTTGTATTAATGAAAAAACCCAAAAATGTAATTTCGTGTTTGCTTTGGTCAAATATTTAAAGGGCTCCATGTTTCAGACCCCTCAACATTCACTGAACACCAATTTTGTCACAACTCCAGGCAGAGGAGCTCTGAGCTCCCACAGCTTCCTCCTCCTCTCCTCCACAGTCGTGTCACGTGACATGCGCACTCGGTTCTGTTATCGAGTTTTGTTATGACAAGTCTGGGCCTCGGTGTAAATTAGTAGTCCGCCCCCCCTCCCGTGTGTGTGTCTCTGCCAGATCAAATCCGTCATGGAGGGCATGGACCTGGACCTGGACGTGGACCAGGAACTCATGCAGAAATTCAGCTGCATGGGCACAACAGACAAAGACATTTTAATATCGGATTTCCAGAGGCTCCTCGGGTTTCAGCTAAACCCCGCCGGATGCGCCTTCTTTCTGGACATGACGAACTGGTGAGCTCGGGGACTCGTCGGGGCCTGCTATGTGTGTGGCGGAGGGATGTAGCTCGTGTAGCTAGCTTTCTTTTCTTTTTTTTGCGCAGCTTCTATAGCTATATAAACAAACATGGTGTAAAAGTAAACAAAATACAAAAAGTTATACCATTTACCGTGATACTGAACTCTCGCGTTTTAACGAGAACACGGTGACAGCTAACGACGCTGGAACGTAACTAGCTGAGTCAGTGTTGCTGACTTTTGATTGCCTGTGTCACGAACACATTTGCATACCTGTTAAACCTACACCTTTACTCTATTATTTCGTTGTATTAAATGAACATAGTCTGAGACTTTTAGCATTTTAGTAAAAAAAAATGTTCAAATGTTAGCATGTATGAGAGGTGAGTACAGAACAGTAGCTTTAATTTGTTACATAATCAACCAACCTTCACTCTTGTTCTTGCCCTATTTTTATTGACATTCTGGGTTAATGTAATTTCACTAGGTGTAGACAGAGTTTAGATAGTTATTTTTCATTGTGAATGTCTGAAAAAAGAATTAATGTTGTGATTGGTTTGTTTTCCGGTGTTGTGCTGAAAAAAGTATCCCTGTCGTTAAAAGCTCACCGGTCATTTCATTGATTTAATAGCTTACAGGAACATAATACGTTTGAAAATGATGTATTTATTGTTATTTTGCTTGTTTGATTAGTTAGTTAGTTATTATGGCTAGTTTGTCGAGATATGCTGTCCTTGTAAAATCACTTACTGTTGTTTCCAACATGAAAGATATATTATTTAGGTTTGAGTTCAAATTCAATTCAAAAATACTTTATTGATCCCAGAGGGAAATTAGACGTGTTTTGTGATTGTAACTCTTTCCATTAAATCAGGGGTGTGCTCATTTTCATTTAGAGCCACATTAGCTTTATTATTTGTCTAAAAGGGCCAAATGTAATTAACTTCGACAGTTTCGTGTTTAACTTTGAACACGTCACATGTTCCTCATCTTCTAGTCGCTACAGCTGAACAGCTCTAACCAACAATAACCGAGCTTGAGCTCTATGTGGTATTTCCAGTGCAGAAACAGCATTTTAATATGTTGTCTTATAAACACTTAAAAGTGTTATCTGTACGACTGATGACATGTCATATAAATAATACAGAAATACTATTAGTAAAAGTTTTACTCACTGCTGAACTGTGGTGAGTACATGCTGTTGTGAATTTGGAACTCTCCCATTTTCCTGCCGTTTGCAGGTAAAATAATCGGCATGCATTATGGGAGATGTAGCATATGGCTGTAAAGCAGCATGCACATATATATTTTTTAAATTAATGCATCTTTGAAGCTCTTGTGGGACACACAAAATGCAGTAGCAGCCAGGCCGCATTTGCCTCGCAAGCCTTGAGTTTTGACGTGTGCGTAAAACCCACACGTTTTAATGTAATCGCAATATAAAAGCAGGTTTTTCCTCGTTTTTGCCTACATCCGTATAGACACTCAAACACCTCATCTCAACACCATTTATTCATTGTTGTTTCAAACAAAGAAAAAAACTTTTTGTGTAGTGTAAAAAGCAAATGCCATCAACTGTGAACTTCTTTAACAGGAATGACCCCCCCCCCCCCCCCCCCCCCCCCCCCCCCCACACACACACACACACACAACACCAGTGGCTTATTTTCAAAATGGTAGCACTCTAGCAATGCTCAAGTGTGAAAATGAAAATGGATATTTTATAGGGGGGGGAGTAGGGTTGGGCAATATTGGCACAAAAATTAATCACAATTAATTGTGGTATTTAGCCGATAACGATTAATTTGGCAATTAATCCCCTGGAGTCCCTGGACACCCTTATGTCCTGGTCACATGACCAATTTAGTGGGAAATATTTGCTCTTGGAAAAATCTGTTCCAAATTGTGTCAAAATTACAGACTTCAGGCTGTACATCAAATTTTAAATTGTGCTGATAGAGAAATTACAGAAACTTAAAAAAAAAAATTCGTCATATTTGAAGCAGAGAGGAGCAGCGAGTGGACTCTGTCTGGTGGCATTAATCATATTAAATCGTCAAGTGCCAAAAAGTAATCGATTAATGCTTTTCTGATGATTAATTGCACACTATACGATTATGCCCAACCCTAGGGGGGAGGGGTATTTTCCATTGTGAATTGATGTGAAATATTTCTCATCGCAAATGCAGTATGATGCCAGTAAATTCAGGTTCCAAGTTATTATAAGATATTATTATCTTCCTGCTGCCGTTCAATGTTTAGATGCTTGGCTTTGCATTGTTTTTGTTATGTCAGATGTTTCTCACAGTGTAGTTGGTCTGTAAAAAGACCTTGAGATAATATAAATACATTTCCCCAAAACCATAGCCGAGGGAACAGACTACAAACAATAGCAAAATCCTGCAGAAATATTGATTGATAGATCAAAACACGTTCTTATTTGTCTAAAACTAGGGATGCACCAATTGCAGTTCTCTGGCTGATCACCAATCTTTAAAAAAACCTGACTCGTCGATTCTGGTTTTGGACGATACCATTTTTCCTTTTTAACTGACACTGTCGCCTTCAAAGCTCCAATCTTATTTTATTGAAAAACGTCTAACAATACAAACTTATTTTAACTAGACAACAACCCTCTCTCACAACAGAGCAAAAGGGGACTGGTTGATTTTTAGATCTTTACATACGTAGATAAGATCAGCACATTATATTTTCAGATAATATTCAAGATTTCTAAAAAGAAGAAGAAGCAAAAAGTCAGGTTGATTTTTGTTTTTACCCCAATAAGACCTAATCTACCAGAGAAAAAAGACCTAAATAAAACATATGGTCAGGAATAACAACGACACTTTCTCAAAGTTTAATATTTGTTTTATGAAGTTGTAATTTAGGCATATTTTGGTTTTAGACTGGTTATGTAACAAATTAAGGAGAATATGCCCAAAGAAGTTAGTGAAACCCTTTTAGGAGCTACTGACAGAATCTTTCATCCATTTATCAGTTGTTTTGTATTTGTCTCTTTGTGCTCAGGGTCACAGAGGCTGAGGCCAATCACAGCAGGCATTCAGTGAGAGACAGGGAACACCCAGGACAGGTCATTAGTCCACCGTACTGATTGAAAGGAAAAAGACAGGGATATAATAAAACTGTTTTTCCAGAATAACTAGTCCAGAAACACAAATAATCCACTTTGAATTAATTTATCCCTGTGGAAACGGTTGCTGGAAAAATCACAAAAACGCAGTGTGTTTGATTTTGTGCTGGAATCTGTATTGATCTTGACTTCTGCTTTTTCTTCTTTCTCACTTTGTGTCCTAGGAATTTACAAGCTGCCATCGGCGCTTACTATGACTTTGAGAGTCCCAACATCAGTGCACCGTGCATGTCGTTCGTGAAAGACGTGACGATCGGTGAGGGTGAATCTGTCCCACCTGACACACCGTTCACAAAGACCTGGAGGATACAGAACACAGGTAAGCTAGCTGGAGCAGTGATATGATGATAGAAGACAGGCTTGTATGTCTTACAGTGGAAACTGATTACGGTTATATGAGGTCAACTCATTGTTTTGTGTGAATCTTTTTTTTTTTTTTCAGGCTCAGAATCGTGGCCTCCTGGTGTTTCTTTGAAGTACGTGGGCGGAGATCAGTTTGGTCATGTAAACATGGTGATGGTACGCGCTTTAGACCCCCAGGAAATGACTGATGTCAGCGTGCAGATGCACAGCCCCGTGTCTCCCGGCATGTACCAGGGCCAGTGGAGAATGTGCACGGCTACGGGACTTTTCTACGGAGGTAAAACAGCAAACTTACATCGCAAAAATTATGTGCCACTTTTAATTCAACTCAGTTCAGTTTATTAATATAGCACAAACATCGTCTCAGTGTATTATACAAAACAAAAAACAATCAATCTAAGGAGGCCAACAGATTGCATTGAATCACTTTGTCACAGTCTCACCTCTTAAATAAGCACATTGGCAGCAGTGAAAAAGAAAACCTCAGTTTAGCAGGAAGAAACCTCCAGCAGAACCAGACTCTGGACGAGTGGTCATCAGCATTGACCGGCTGGGTTTGGGAGGGCAAGAAAGAAACAAGAAGAACTGGTCCAGGTGCACCTTCCTTTGGAAAAGAGACAAAGAAAAACACGTTATTGATAGAAGTAATTAGAGAGACTAAAGACAGCAGCAGAGTGAGGAAATGTGCTCAGTTTGTGTTCCAACAGTCTAAGGCTACGTTCACACTGCAGGCAAATCCAACCCAAATCCAATTTTTTTTGACCCATCTGACTCATATCCGATTTTTTTTATGACAGTCTGAACGAGACAAATCCGATTTTTTCTAATCCGACCCAGGTCGTTTCAGTA